TCATTCTTTTCCAAACTTATACATATATTTAAAATAACACAAATTAAATGACCTGCTCCAGAAATAGGAAAAGAGTAATTTCAGGTCACAGGACATAATGGGTATGAAGATTATCCTTATAATTCTTAGTTATGAAACCAAACTTTATTTTACTCCGATGTTACACATTTGGAGCTCTTTAGTGATGTTGTTACAATTAGAAATTAACATTAAATAAAATGCTGCAACAGAGATATTAAAAACCTGTCCTACACTGAGAAAAATAAGTGAAGACAAAAGGATTAAATATTAAATTGACAGATGCTGTCCAATGTGTTGCAAATTTTTATTCTTTCCCAATGCACAGAAATGTTTAAGCAGAGGATCAGAGTTCTTAACTACAATTGCATTTGCAGTACATTTTTAACTCTTTCATTTCTTAAATGGAAATGAAATCAAGACTTGACATTGTCTCACTTTGAGAATGGGTGAAATAATTGCAAGTGTGGTAAACAATGTGAGAAGATCCAAGAATATCTCTCACAGGCTGCAGATGAGAAATCCGTGCTGAATTATAAAACACACACTGTTTTTGTGATGTTTCTCAGTGATCCACATTTGTTTTTCCTAGGTTGGACACAACTTGTGCCTCCCACTGCTCTACTCTGGGACCTATTAGGACCCCCAAAGAAGATGAACAAAGGGGCATCTTTCTGGAATGACAAGGAAATTTCAGGACTGCGTGTGTCATGAAGGGGACAACCTCCCAGGATTAATCCTCTTTGATGCCCTTGGTCTGTAATCTCACAGCCCCATTAAAATTTGGCTTAACATTTTCACTACTTAACAGCCCACTGCAGATTTCATTAAAATAACAGACTCTTTGATTTACTATAAAGAATAACAATGTGGGCACTTATCATTATAGGAAGACAAAATCAATGAAATCAAACAGGCATCGTAGAACTCAATTTTCAGTGCCTGGAATACAGGAACCCCTCAGAAACAGTTCCTACTCCTATGCCCACTGTCTTCATCCTCTAAATCCTTACCATCTCATTTACCATTCTTTTGCAGTGCTTAGGAGACACTGCAAAAGAACACATTCTCTGCTGCTATAAGTGAGATATGAATAGAAAATAAAAACAAGGTGTATAGAAGAAAACTTTGAAATAATTCTATTCTCTCATTGAAAGCAAAACCACACAATTTCCTTTCATTATAACAAATATTTTTCATAATTGCACCTTCCCATCTTTCTACCCAAACTGTCATGTTTGTCCTTCTGTTAAGGAAATCATACCTAATGGATGCTATCTATATCCCTGAGGTCCCTTTGCACTTACTGGCTGATGCTGTTTCTCTGCTGTGTCATAGTCAAGTAGAACAGATCCAAATGACTTCTTAGGTCTGCTCTCTGTTGAAGCCTCAGATTCTGGTCTCAGGATTGAAATTAATGCAAAGTCAGATAGGAGCTTGCTGACTATCATGTAACCTGGGACACAGGTGTGAAACTTACAGGACTGGAATCATCAAACTGAAGAGCTGGGGTGCAAGCTGAACATTGGCAACTATATACCTTTGAAGGTTCAATGCACAGAGCTCATAATTAGTCGATTGGTTCACACAAGCCCAGTCTCTACAGACTTCCTAACACTAATGGAAGAAAGAAAAAAGGAAAATAATTGTCCCCAAGAAGTTTTGGGTACCTTCTGTACTCAGGTTAAACTGGTGTGTCCTAATCACTTCTGTCATTTATATGTCTTTTCTACTTTACTTTCGGCAGTTTTTTTCATTTTTTCAATCATATACACAGAACAAAAAACTTACAATTTCAACTATATTACTACACACTTCAATGGCCTTAATTAAATCTGCACAGAAAAATTAAAGCTCTCAAAATAAAAGAATCAATCAATGGGTAATGCAGATGAACAAACACTTCTCAAAAATTTCTAATTGCCAAAAAGTACACAAAAAAAGTTTTCTCATCATTAGTCTTTAGGGAAATGACAATCAAAACAGCAACAAGATTTCATCTTACACCAGTAAAATGGCTAACATCATGAACAAAAAACAATAAATACTGCCAGCCTGAAGGGAAAAAAGGGAACCTTTTTATATTGTTGGTGGTAATAATAAAACTACTATGGAAATCAGTCTGAAGATGTTTCAAAAAGCTGAAAATAGAAATTCCATTTGATCCAGCTATATCTTTCTGGGTATCTTCTCTAAGAGCTAAAGATGTCATATTATACCACTATATGTTTATAGCAACACAATTCATAACAGCAAAATCTTGGAAGCTGAATAAATGTTCATTAACATATGAACAGGTATATAAAATGTCGTATATAAACAGAACACACTACTACTCTGACATAAAGAGTGATAAACTTGAGTCATTTGTAGTAATATGGATATACCTTGAGAACATGATGCAAAGTTAAATAAATCAGACACCAAAGGGAAAATATTGTTATATTTTCTCTTATATGAGAAACCCAACCTATAAATAATTTATAGAGAGGTAAAAGACAGATTATAGGAAAATGACAGATCTTTTGAAAAAGGAAAGGGGACCAAGAGTTGAAGAGACAGTGGATGAGGGAGAGGAAGTGGATGAAAATGATCTAAAGTATGTTATGCACACGAACCTGCTCCCCATGATGAGTGTAATCATTATGTGCTACAAACCCATAGTAATGAAAATAAAAATTGAGGAAAACCCAACAATTTTAAATGTAAATATTTAGTAATATTGATTTGCTTCATAACAAATGCTTATTATTTGGATTGGCATCTGCATGATTCCATTCCTCTAAACCCTCAGCCAAAGGCAGTGACTTTCAGTACTTCACTGAGATTTTTCTCTCAATGTTTCTATGTCAGTATTGATTCATGTACCACAAATAGTTTTCTTCATATCTTGCCCCAAAGCTCCCAAAACTCAATCAAGTAGTACACATCACAACACCTTCTGCTCTTGAAATGAGTTCTTTTACATCAGCATGTGTATTACAGTCTCTATGAAATACATACAGCTATTTGAATTCTTTAATTGACATATGGCATTTCCTGATGGAGGAAAATAATTTAATTTGGAAATTCATTGTGATAAAATCATTTCTAAATTCTTGTCTTTCTATACATCATGAAAGTAAGAATTTCTCTCTGATATATGGGTAGAAAATATTTGTTTGATTTCCAAAAAGGATACATGCTCTGTTTTACTATAAATATCTACGTACGTTATCCAAATGAAATATCATTCATTATAATTATTATATTTTTATTAACATCTATCATCAAAAATATCATAGAGGTCATCTAGTATTAATTCTTTTGAGATGAGTAATCAATGAATGTTTTTAAAATTTTATTTTATTTTACGTTTTAGGTATACAATATAATGACATTCATCATTGGAAATTTGCACCTTTACATAATCTCTCTCGGTTCTTATTTTTCCCCCTTTCCCTGCCCGATATTCAACCCCTCCATCCCTCCCTATTTACAAAGACTTTATTTCCATTTTTTCGTTTTCTCATATTAACTCCAATCCCTTCTTTCTTGACCCCTACCTCTCCAACTTCCCCTTCCCATTTGCCCCTTTTCTGCCTATTTCACATTATCTATTATAACATTTAGTCCTTATTTACTCTTGTTTCTTACACTAGAGAAACTATTCAATAATTATATGTGTGTCCTACTTATTTCACATAAGAGTATTGCCTAATGTGCATCCACTTAGCTATAAATATCTCTAATTTCTCATTTTTTATGACTGAGTAGTACTTCATTTTATTTTAAAAACCCACATTTTCCTTATCCAGTCTCCAGTTGATGGGCTTCTTCCAAGTTTTGGCTATTGAAAGTTGTGCAGCTATGAACATGGATGCATGTGTATCACAGTGGCATGATTGTTTTAATTCTTTGGGGAAGATACTCAGCAGGGAAATTGCTGGACCAAATGGGACTTTCAGTCCTAATTCCTTGAGGTATCTCCATACAGATTTCCACAATGGTTGAACTAGTCTACACTCCCACCAGCAGTGGAGCAGTATTCCTCTTTCTCCACAGCCCTGACAGCTTTTGTTATTAGTTGATTTCATGATAGCAGCCATTCTTTCTGGGGTGAGGTAGAATCTCAGCACTGTTTTCATTTGCATCTCTCAAATGACCAGTGATGTTGAACATTATTTCAAATGTTTATTTGCTATTCTACTTCTTTGTCTGAGGAATGTCTGTTTATTTCTGATGCCCATTTTTGGATTGGGTCTTTAAATTTGGGAGGCCTAATTTTCTTAAGTACTTTATAGATTTGAGATAGTAGACCTTTGCCTGAGGGACAGCTGGGGAAATTTTTTTCCCACATTGTGGATTGTCTCTTCACCCTGTTGTTGGTTTCTCTTTCTGTGCAGAAGACTTTTAGTAAGGAGAGATCCCACTTGTTTATTGTTTGTGCTAGTTAATGGGCAACTGAGGTTTTGTTCATAAAATATTTTCCTACAGCAATCTGTTCAAGAGTTCTTCCTAAACTCTCTTCCAGCCAGTTTAGTGTTTCTGTTTAAATATTTAGATCTTTAATCCATTTATATTTTAGTTTAGTTCATGATGAGAGATATGGGTCTGGTTTTAGCCTTTGGCAAGTTGAAGCCCAATTTCTTCAACACCATTTATTAAAGAGGCTATCTTTCAAACAGTGAGGGTGATTGGCTCCTTTGTGGAAGATGAGGTGGCTGAGGGTGTCTGGAGTTGGTTCTGCATCTTCTAATCTCTTCCACTGGTCATCATGCCTGTTTCTTACCCAATACAATGCTGTAAATTACCGTTGTATCATTTCAACTTGGGGGTTGTAATACCCCCTGCCATGTCTCTGTTACCTAGAATTGCTTTTGCTATTCTGGGTCTCTTCTTATACCAAATGAATTTTTGGATTGATTTCTCAAGGTCCATTAAGTATGCTGCTGGGATTTCAATTGGGATTGCACTGAATCTATATAGCAGTTTTGGAAGTATGGCCATTTTCACTATGTTGATCCTTCCTACCCAGGAGCAGGGGATGTCCTTCCATTTTCTG